GGGGGAGTGGAGGGAGGGGAGGGGCCCCAACCTCACACAACTCAATTAGACTTGGTGCGCGCGGGGCCCGGCCCGGCCCAGCCGCGCCATCCAGGCGTGCTACACCGAGCGCCACGACGACGCGCGGTGCGACGCAAATGACTTCTTCTTGTGCTCTACACGCGCGTGCTGCTTGCAAAAGGGCGCCAAAGCCAGAGGTGCAAGGATACTCACTCGATCAGCCGCGCTTCTGGCAAGGGGATATGGCGTCCGAAAACGAAAACCAAAACGTCCCCCTCCTCTTGCTCGCCTTCCCGAGCCGAGCTAGCAGCTCCTGCAGCTGGACGTCGGTCTACTGTCGGCGTCGGTCCCCCCTCCAGCCCCTCCTCCCAGTGGCCAGCGCCGCCGCCGTTGCGCGGCGAGGCGTGGCGTGGCGCCGCGGCGCTGCACCGCGGATGGCTGGAGTGAAGTGGAGCTGTTAGTCGCCGCTCGCCCGCCCGCCCCGCCAGTACCGCGCCCAGTCCGCGCCGCCGCGCCACGCCGCGAGTGCAAGTGCAGAGTGCAGTGCAGTGATTTCTTATGTGGGATCCGGGATTACTCTTCGCCGACACCTGAGGCGGGCCTCGCTGCCATGGCCGACGAACAGGCGGGGGCCGCGCCGCCCCCGGCCGCCCCCGCAGAGGCGGCGCCAACGAGCTCCGGGGAGGCCGACTGCCAGGGCCCGCCGCCGCAGGCCGCCCCCATGGAGGAGGCCCTGGCCCCGGCCCCGACCCCCACGGAAGGCGTCGTTGCCGCCGTGGCTTCGACCAAAGACAAGGACTACAAGTACCGCAAGCTGTTGTACCTCTTCAAGTTCAGCAAGAGCAGCAAGAAGAGCAAGAAAGAGGCCAAGCTGCAGCGCAACACGCTGGGCACGCCGGAGGAGCGGCGGAGCCAGCTCGACCGGGACATGAAGAACAGCTGGGACACGCTGCCGGAGACGCTGCGCAAGAAGAAGCAGCGCATGTCCCGGGCGCTGCTCTCAGAGTTCATCGATGCCGACAGCCCGGATGGCCCCGAGGACGGCAAGGCCGACGTCACGGGTGCTCCGGAAAAGGCAGACGCGGTGGGCGCGTCAGCCGAGGACAAGGATGCCATGGAGGACGCCGTCAAAGACACGTTGCGCAGCGTGTACTATGACGATGAAGATGACGAAGACGAGGATACCAAGTCTTCGGCCTCCTCGAACTGCTCGGACAAGAACGAGGTGTGCGTCTACCAGGTGCAACCGGGCAGGCCGAGCAACGCCGTGGAGGTGCGGGCCATGTTCCACCGGCAGGACGAAGACACAAGCCTGGGGACGGTGGGCGCGGCCCTCGGCCTCAACAACAACGAGACACAAATAGGCGAGGAGGAAGTCTACCAGAAGATAACATTCGATAGTGATAGGCAGCGATCTGCTGATACTCAGGGGGGCGAAGACGAGGCTCTTTCAAGACTGAATTCTGTGATTCCCGACTCCGCGGAGGACGAGGCGGCCGGGACCGCGGAAGAGATTCCGCAAATCAAGACTGAGGACGAGAGGACGGAAATGGAGAACGGCCCACGACCTGACACGGCGCAGGATGTGTCGGAGGCAGCGAGTCCCTCGCCGCAGCCTTCTTCCTCCCCCGAGGCCTCCAACGGCGCCCCCAGCCCCGTGCAGCCGCCCCCGTCCCCTGCCAGCGCCACGACCCCACCCCCCTCGCCGGGACCTTCCCC